ACATTCCTGGAACCTTTATCTCAAGTTTGACTTTAAAGTTGAACTTTATTCATGTTTCAGTCCACATTTCCTCTTTTTTAGGGCTGATTTGGGGTTTTAGCTTCAGATTTGTGTTGAATTTAATCTCACCTTTGATGGTTTTAGTCATTATGAGGATGGATTTCCCTCATTAATTAAATCTTAACGGTTTCAGCTACAAAAACTGGACTTAAAATGAGAGAAAAAGTAGAAAACGTCCAAACAAAAACTCAGAAATCCTGGAGACTTTTTAAACTAATCTTTATGCTTCTGATCCACTTTAAACCGCAGACGCTGGCTCATCCCTTGAGTTAGGGGCCTTTTTTCTGCCTGAATGACTCAGATTTAAGAGGCTGTACAGAGAAAAAAAACATTCCTGCAGCTTCAAAACTTAAAATTTTCATTGTAAATATTATTGTAATAATACAATTTAAATGTATAATTAATCGAAATGAAATAATGATTAATACAAATGAACATAGTTGTTATTATTCAGACACAGAAGGACTCTGGTATCTTAACATTTTCATCCACAAAAACTGGACTAAAAATGAGAGAAAAAATAGAAAATATCCAAACAAAAACTCAGATAAAGCTCAGAAATCCTGGATCAATGTATGATTAATCAAAATTAAATCATGATTAATACACTGAACTGGATTCAGACACAGAAGGACTCTGGTTTTTGGGTCTTCTGGCCTCGTTCTGGCATCCAGAGGGTTAAATAAAAAAGGGAAATCTTTGCGTTTCCTCTTCTGAACAGAGCCGGTGACGTTTTAGGGCTGGAACGTGATTTTATCTGCTGATCGACCTCTGAAAACAGCCCAGAGCCAGACGCCGTCTGGGGCCTGTTATCAAACCCGTTTCTCACCCCAAATTAGGCACCCTGCTTCTGCCCAGTTATCAGGACCGACTTCTATGTTCAAATATTGGTGTGTTGGTTCAAATCTTCCATCAGAGTACTCTGTAATTCCTAGAATTGGTTCCAAAAACCTACGATAAGTCATAAGTAATTGGGAAAAAAACAGGACAAAAGCAGGAAAAGCTGAGATTTCTTAACTCTTTGAACACAACAATGATTTCCCTTCATCTAAAGACCCAAAAAGCTGATTTTTTAACAGTGATTTTCTGTTTTTTTGTGCGAGGAACCGCTTTATAAAGCAGCATTTAAAGTAAAACCTCTATAACAGAGTCTAACTGGTTCCAGGAGTGACTTCTATGTTAAATATTGGTATGATGGTTCAAATTTTCCATCAGAATACACTGTAATTACTAGAATTGGTTCCAAAATAATTAATGTAAATGTAATGTTAATGTAAAAGTTTTCACTGTCTTTGGGAGTTTGGGAAGCTTTGAATTTATCTATTTTTTAAAATAATTTGAATAATTTGAAAATAATCATTTGAAATATGAATTAGAAAAGAAAGAATCCTGTTACATTTCCCCTAAATAAACGTAAAATAAAATTAAAAAAACAGCCCCCCAGGAGCTAAACCAGCATCTAAAGGGCTCAAAACCCAAAAGTTTGGAGTTTTGGACTGGAAAAAATATAAAAAAATACAGATAAATCCAGCAGAACCTCTATAACAGAGTCTAACTGGTTCCAGGAGCGACTTCTGTGTTAAATATTGGTGTGTTGGTTCAAATCCTCCATCAGAATACACTGTAATTCTTAGAATTGGTTCCAAAAACCTACGATAACTCCTTAATAAATACTGCAGATGATTACACGTAGCAAGAAAACAAATGACTTCTAGAAGAGAGATGGAAAAAGAAATAAATGCCGGTACCTAACACCAGCTAACAGTAGCTAACCCCAGCTAAGAGCTCTTAACAGCATCTAGTAGCAGCTACTAGCTAACAGACGCTAATTGCTATTAACAGCTAATAACCGCTGCTAGCTAACACCAGCCAAAAGCTGTTATGAATTAGCTACTGTTAGCGTCTGTTAGCTTGTAGCTGGTGATAGCTACCGTTAGCTGGTGTTAGCTAGCGGCAGCTGTGAGCTGTTGTGACTTGTTAACAGCTTTTAGCTAGTAGCTGCTGCTAGCTAACACCAGCTAATAGTAGCGATAGATAGATAGATAGATAGATAGATAGATAGATAGATAGATAGATAGATAGATAGATACTTTATTGATCCCCAAGGGGAAATTCAAGCTAAAAGATGCTAATTTATTCATTTATGCTTCTAATAATAACGATTTATATATATGTATACGTTTTTGTTTTGTTTTGTTTTATTTGTACATTTTTTTCATTTAAACAAATAAATTTATTTGTATTTATATATAATAAATAACCATCTGATGCCCAGTCTGAGGGAGGCCCAGTCCCTGCTCCTGAAGAGGACCACGGCAGAACATGGAGGAAGAGGAGGCAACATGGCCGCCCTGCTGATGAAGCACATCACCACGGAGAAGAGGAAGTTGTACTCCTCCTCCTCCTCCTCCTCCTCCTCCTCTGACAGAGGTCTGTATCCTCAGGTTCAGGTTCAGGAAAACTGCTCTGGTTTTAAAATGTCTGAGCTCATTGTTTGTGGAGCCAGTCGGGCTCAGAGATAAAGAACTCTGGCTCCATCAGCTCCTCCTCCTCCTCCTCCTCCTCCACCTCCATCTCCTCCTCTAGCTCCTCCTCCATCTCCTCCTCTAGCTCCTCCTCCATCTCCTCCTCCAGCTCCTCCTCCATCTCCTCCTCTAGCTCCTCCTCCATCTCCTCCTCTAGCTC